GACATGTTTCACTTCCTTCAAACTGTAGTAACTGTTTACAATGAAAATCACTCCTTGTACGGTGAAACTTAACATGCAATCTCAGAACACGGAACTGCAGAAAATATGTCAAAAATCTGAAGTGCTGAGATTCCAGTTTTTTGATTGCTGCAACACTTCATGTCAGCACAGTGGCCTTTAAATAAAGTAAATAAAAGAATGAAGAGAAAATTTTTCAAATTTCAACTAATATTTTTAAAATTACATGTGATGTCTTTTTGAGTTCATCCATTCACTTATCTACAACTGATTGCTAACAGGAAAGTAGACAGGAAAAAACAAGCTGCAGATGGGTTTAAGGTGATGAGTGGTTTAAGGTGTGTCCTTCGCACTTCTTTGAAACATGCAACAGATACTGTATCAAGTATAATCACTGCATATATTTTGAGGTCATGCTTTGTGTTGTGTTATTTGGCTTAGAGAATGACTATTCTATGCTATCAAAAACAAAATGTCTTATAAATACAACTGTCATGTAACTGTGTGAAGCAGCCAGAGTTGAGAACCCAAATGTAGACTCACAGGCAAAACTAAACTGAAATGTAGCTTTTTTGCTGAATTACCAAATATGCTAACCAAGGAACTCATAAGGAAACTAAACTGAGATATATTAAGCAGATGGCACGCACACAGACGTGGAGGATAAGAGAAATCACGACAAGAAACAGAAGGAAATGCAGACAATTTATACAAAGGAAATAAGTGCAGAGGGGAAACACCTGGGAAACAGGGCTGGACATGATCTAACTGGCGAGACAGCAAACAACTGAACGTGATGGACACAGGACACGTGACTATCAAAACAAAACAGGAAGACATGAGAAACCCACACTGAGACCCAGACTGACTAAAAACAGGGAGCAGAGGGAGGAGACAGAGACAAGACTAAGGAAACAGATAAATACAAAGGGCACGACTAACTCTCAGAGGAGACACAGGAACGAGTCAAAGGTACAAAAGGAACCTAAAAAAAAGAAACTAGAAATACAAATAAACTCAATAAAGGAACTAAACTGTACAAAACGAACTTAAATCGTCTTCCTCATGCAAGGAAAGACTCATGAAACTAGAATAAACTCAAATCGCTGGGCCAACGACTCAGGATCATGACAACAAACTCACTATAATTATTACTTGCAGCTGAATTTGAATTAATTATGACGTCAAGTGAAAGCTTTCTGTGGTTCAACTTTAACTGGTGCCAGTGGATAACAAATGTCAGCGAACATTTCAAATACAGTGCACAACTAACAATAAAAATTCAGTAATACCTTATTACGTAATACGATTATGACTGATTCGGTATACATATGGGTAGGTGTGAGGTTTCCCTCTATTGGTTTTTAAAGGCGTTGCGTTTAAAATTGTACTTGTATAACCCTCCACCTACCAAAAAGTAGAAAAACAAAACCAAAAACCGAGCAGGAAAAGGTCAGCTTTTTTTTTAAAAACTTAACCACAACACACTTTCCACCAGCTGCTGTTTAAATTGTGTCACAGCAAAGAGCCTGTACTTTTCAGCTCTGCTTGTATGAATTGATACATTTGATATAGTGGACCTTAAAATAATAATTTATGTCTTGAGCAATGCTTTGGCATCCGAGCGCTGCTCTAAATCGGTTCCATATCTGACAAACTGGTCCTCTTCTATAAGGCCCTGAGGCTGAAACTTGGCTTTCACATAATGATGTCACTCTTAAAGCTGAAATCCTGGTTTTTAATGCCATTAACCATCAGCTTAGCCCCCCCAAAAGAACCTCGGTAAAATATTTAATTTCTCTCAAAAATTCGACTTGGAGATTCAACTTTTCATCAAAGCTCACTTCTTTAGAACATTATCAACATTTGTATCACATCCTGGATTACAGTTCTTATTTACTGTTGTGTATCTCCATTTTCCTAATTAGATTTCAAATAAACAATAAGTAAGACTAGAGACCTCGACTATGATAAGAAAATATAAAGAAAATCCTAACCTGAAGAATACAAACTAAGAATTCTAAATCCTGGGTCCAATACTGTCCAATGTCCAGTTCTTGTTAATTCAAAGATGAAGCAAAGAGACAACTGCTTTTTTCAGTTTCAGAGAAAGATGTAATGTGTATGTCTGCTTCCACTAAGGAAGCAGACAATCTGGCAGATTTGCTCAAGCTCAAGTGGGACCTTAAATGCAGGTTGTAAATGAGGCTGATGAGAAACAGGTGGTCAGGCTGAGGCGTGGAGAGGAGCCTCTGCTCAGCTTCTCCGGGACTCAGGGAGTGTTAAAGACTCCAAACAACAACAACAACCCTGTGCAGAAATATGACTTCAGGCTGGGTTGAAGATTTAAGGTGGTTATACAACTTAAATGTATGCACTGATGTTAGAATGTTGCAATCTCTATTTTGCTTTTTATGCTGCCTTTATTTCCAGTTTTTCCAGCAAATATTAAAGAATTTAGAAGTGCTTTTCACACACTTCTGTAGGTCCAAAAAATAAAATGTGATGAATATAAATATTTTATTCATGCCAATATTTTAGAAGCATCTTATTGGAAACTTAAAAAATACAAAAAACAAAACCATTCGAACAAAACTAAGGGAAGTAGGTGAAGGCCACTTCACTTTTTTAACTATCAAGTTAAAACTGGTCCTTATTTTTACACTAGTTTTGTGTTTGCTGCTGCCATGAATACAAACAGTGATGATTTAAAGCCTTCAACTAAATTAAGATAAGATAAGATAAGATAACCTTTATTATTTGTTTTGTTACAGCACAAAGTGGACAGTGCACAGTTAGATAGCAAAAATTTGAAAAACACTGGAATAGGATAAGAATAAGAAAAAGATACTGTACACAAATGTACACAATAGAATAGAATAAAATAAAATATTATACTGTATACAATAGAATAAAATAGAATACAAATACTATATACAACTGAGTAGAAAATAACAACGTTGTTAGAAAAAGAGTTCTGCACTTAGTGTTGTTGCACATTTGTGGATGCGTGTGTTTGGTCAGTTGCGAAGTTTTGTGAGAGCCTGACAGCAGAGGGGAGGAAAGACCTTCGAAATCTCTCCGTCCCACACCGTGGGTGCCAAAGCCTGCCACTGAAGGAGCTGCTCAGTGCTGTCAGAGACTCCTGCATAGGGTTGCAGATGCTGTTCAACAGTGATGACAGCTTAGCCACCATTCTCCTGTCATTCACCACCTCCTCTGGGTGCAGAGGGCATCCAAGAACAGAGCTGACCCTCCGGATCAGCTGTTCAGTCTCTTCCTGTCCTCAGCAGAGATGCTGCTGCCCCAGCAGACCACACCAAAAAAGATGGCCAAGGCCACCACAGAGTCATAGAAGGTCTGCAGGAGTGGGCCCTTCACTCCAAAAGACCTGAGTCTCCGCAGCAGGTACAGCCTGCTCTGCTCTTTCCTGTAGAGGGCGTCTGAATTATGAGTCCAGTCCAGTTTATTGTTCAGGTAAACACCAAGGTAGCTGTCCACAGCCTCAATATCCATAACTTGACTGTTTAATGGTTGCAGTGGAGGATGTTTGTGTGTGCTGAAGTCTACCACCAGCTCCTTGGTTTTAAATGCAAGAGCTTG